GCAGATCATCAGCGTGACGGCATTTCAGCGTGGCCGTCGAGCATCTGGGGGTGGTGGTGCGGTGGTGACGATGCATCTCGGGATGCCAAGTGTTCATCCAGAGCCCTGGCATGCCCTTGGAGGCAGCAGCAGCTCCGGCAACGGGGCTGCTTATTGAGAACATCTTCAAAGTGAAAAGGACAGGCACTTATCTCGGAGCATCCCGTGGGAAGCAGCAGTTCCCAGTGGGAAGCGGGCCAGAGTCGCGTCTGCTGGTCTCGAGCAGCTGCAGATTTATTTATAATGCCGTGGGCAGCATGTGAGGCTGCAGATAAACATGAGGGAGGGAAGAGCACAAACAACAACACTGAGGAAATGCTGCTGTGGAGAAATCGTCACGCTGAGCTGCAGCTATCGCAGCCACCAGAGGTGGGCCAAGGGCCAGGCTCCCACCCCTGCTGCTCCCACGGGGGTTTGATCCATGTCCTGGGTGCCAGGAGGGTCTTTATGGGGCTGCCGAGGCATCAGCCCTCACCCTGTTATCTGGTTCTGCCAAACCAGCAGGATGGCACCGTGAAAGCACTGGCTGTGACAGCGAGTGAAGCTGCTGAGATGATTGGTGAGGCATTAACAGTTGGGCTCGGGGTTGCCCATCCAGAAATTGGTCACAGAATCATAGAATCACAGAATCAGCTGGGTTGGAAGGGACCTCTGAGATCATCAAGTCCAACCCTTGATCCACTTCTGCTGTGGTTCCCAGCCCATGGCACTGATGCCACATCCAGTCTGTTCTTAAAAACCTCCAGGGACGGAGAATCCACCACGTCCCTGGGCAGCCCATTCCAATGGCTGAGCACCCTCTCTGGAAAGAAATCCTTTCTAATATCCAACCTAAACCTCCCCTGGCACAGCTGAAGACCCAGCCCTCTTGTCTTGCTGATGGTTGCCTGGGAAAAGAGACCAACCCCCCCCTGGCTGCCCCCTCCTTTCAGGGAGCTGTAGAGAGTGATGAGGTCTCCCCTGATCTGTCTTTGTTGTCCCTAGCACAGGAGTTTGTCTTGTTGGGTGCTCAGGGAGGGGTATGAACATGGGGCAGCCCCAGGTAGGACCAGGAGATATGGCTGTGGCAGCCACAGGTCACTGTGGGTGCAGAAGGGGCAAGGAAGGGGCTGAGGGCAGCCCAGTGGGAACGCTGCAGGTGGAGGAGCTGCCTTGGGAGGGTGGTGGGTTCCCATTGCTTGAGGCTTTATCACACCTCGTGTGGAGCTGTGGCAAACCAGGGTCCCTGTGAACCACAGGGACCAGTTATTCCCAGTGCTCTGTAATTCAGGCACCCACTGCTCAGTGGAACACACTGACCCACCTCCAAAGGGAGCCAGGGCAGCAACCTGGTGGAAAAGCTGCACGAAAAGGGGCACGTTGGAATGTTACAACTGTGTGTGATGGGGACCACGGCCTTGGGACCCCTCCTACACAATGGAGGCTGATAAACAGGAGCCTCAAAGACAGGAACCTGGTTTAGGGTGGAAGAAAAGGGAAGCTCAGCTAATTTTGCTGTCTTGGAGAATCATTTGCCACCCATGAACATCACAGGAGGGAAAGGAGGTTTTGGACAGCAGAGCCTTTGTAGAAGGAAAAGGAAATCCAAAAGCTGGCAGCCAAATGGTGTAAATCCAGACTAAAATTAATGGAATATCTGGTGGGTTTTACGAGAAGATAATTGACCATTGGAAAAACTTGCTTAAAGCCTGCAAATTTCTTCTCCTCCTTGTCCCTGGGCCAGCCAGGGTGGATTCAGAGCTCCGAGGGGATTGTTCAGCTCAGGATAAGAGGCTGGAAGCCGTGGTGCACTGAGCATGACATTTCCATTGCACCGAGTTTTCATTAAATAAGAGGCTTTTAAAAATGCAAAATGCTTCAAAGTATGAGGTTTATTTGGGGTATTATTTGTAATGGTTTAGAATATATCTTCTTTTACATTATAGTTGCTGCTATTAATGTACTTACTGTGCACCACTGTCATTGCTAGTTAAGATAAAGTAACAAATTTAGGGGTGTTTTAGAGCTTCTTGCTAGCACTGGGTGAAAAATGTTGTTTTCCTTTCAGATCAAACGCCACTAGTGTTTTAATGAAAAAGCCAGGTCCTCTGATAAAATAAACACCGTTTTTGCCCTGCGTAAACAAATACCCAGTTTAAAAAGAAATTTCGCAAGTCTGACCCACACAACATTTCGGGATTAGCTGTTTTCCAGAGCTCTTCCTAGTGGGAAAAATTGAAGAGATCTATTTCTTGCCGTTTTTTTTTTTTTTTTTTTTCCTAAGAAATACCAAGCATTTTGAATGGACTGTTTGAAAGAAAGCTAGCAGAACTTATAAGGATCATAACATGTTTTTTTTTTTTTTTTTTTTGCTCTTGGAATAAAACCAAATTTTGAAATCCTGGTTTCCTGTGAGCTCGAAACCACTGGCTGGGACCAGGAGTAAGGAACAACCCACAGCCCGAGAAGGATTTACTGCCAGGAGTAGGCAAAGGAGCACGGTGGTGTCGAGGCAGTTTTTGGGGTGTCAGTGGGAGAAGGGAGGTTCTGTGTGCTGAGCAGCCACCTCTGTCTCTTCAGTGATGGGTCTGGTCGAGGCTGAACTTTTCTTCCTTTGTTTTTGTTCAGTGGAGTGAAAGCTGAGAAGGTGGAGATGCTTTTGGGGTTGTTTGTGGCAGGATGGTTGGTTTGTCGGTGGGGAGAAGCAGCAGGACTTGGTTACAGCCAGTAACTCTCCATGCCTGTTGTGGGACCATCCCTGGAAGTGTTCAAGGCCAGGTTGGACAGGATTTGGAGCAACATGGTCTACTGGAAGGTGTCCCTGCCCATGGCAGGAGGATGGAATGAGAAAAGGGCCTGGAGTGATAGGACAACGGGAATGGCTTCCCAGTGCCAGAGGGCAGGGATAGATGGGATATTGGGAAGAAATTCTTCCCTGTGAGTGTGGGGAGGCCCTGGCCCAGGTTGCCCAGAGAAGCTGTGGCTGCCCCATCCCTGGGAGTGTCCAAGGCCAGGTTGGACAGGGCTTGGAGCAACCTGGGCTAGTGGAAGGTGTCCCTGCCCATGGCAGGGAGTGGAACTGGATGGTCTTGAAGGTCCCATCCAACCCCAACCGTTCTGTGACTCCATGTGTGTGGGATGGATGCTCTGCAGCATCCCTACAAGTGCATTTGGCATCCCCAGGGCATGTGCTGAAATCAGGGACAGATTCCCATTCTCCCTGCAGAGGGACAGAATTTATTCTGTGCTCATCACCTTGGTTTCAGCACAGGATCACTGGCCGTGTGCTGCCCTGTGCAGTCTGTCCCACCACGCTTCCCTCATGTCCAGCCTCCTCGTGGTGAGACCTTTGGGCAGAATTTCTTAACTCCATTTCCTAAACTCTGGAATATTGTCCTATTTTCTTAAAATGTCAGCATTGGGAATGGTGCAGAAAAATCCCCGTGTTGCAATGAGCATGTAGCTGCAGGCCTGGAGGAGGGAGAGATGCTCAGACTGTGGAAACCACTCCTGGAAGTGTTCAGAATGTGTTCAAAAACCACTGCTGAACACTCCCTGAAAGTGTTAAAAACATGTGGTGGTTAGAGACATGGTTTAGTGGTGAACATGGCAGTGCTGGGTTAATGATTGGACTCAGTGACCTTGGGGGCTTTTCCAGCCTTGATGCCATGATTCTGAGTGTCCAGTGGGTCGTGTTTCTGATGGGTCATGTTAGCCCAAGTATTGGGGTGCCATAACCTGAACACCTCTTCTTATGCCACCAGTGGAGTTAAACCAACTTGCAGCTCTTTGGGATGGAAGAAATCCCAGTGCTGGAAGTGTGATGAGCTGTAGAGAGGGCGAGGAGGCTTTGCTGTTGTTTGGCTTCGGAAGACTTGTCTGTTGGTGGTTGGTGGTAGCATCACCTGACCTATTTCAACCCAAATCATCTGGAAAACCAGCTTTAACATTGGTTTAATTTTTTAGTACTTTTAAGTCCTAAAAGTGCTGTTCCTCCACATGTGCTGCTGCATCTCTGAGGATTTGCCGAGTGTGCAAAGTGCTGAGGAAAGAATACCCTGTTTTCCGAAGGGAACTGGAAGGTGGTGGAGGATCCCTGCTCAGGCTGCTCCTCCACTGCAGAGGCAGAGCTGCTCTGGGGTGGGGGCACCCAGATTTGGGATTCAGAGGAGGAAGGTCCAGCTGGGCTGAGGGGTGGAAGAGCCACCCATGCGTGGCAGGAAACATTGCCTGTGCTGGGCACTGGTGAGGCACCTCAGGGTCGATTCTGGGCTCCTCCTGAAAAGAAAGAGATTGAGGGGCTGCAGCATTTCCAGAGAAGGGCAGCGGAGCTGGGGAAGGGTCTGAAGCACAAGGAGTGGCTGAGGGAGCTGAGGAGGCTCAGCCTGGAGAAAAGGAGGCTCAAGGGAGGACCTTCTTGCTCTCTGCAACTCCCTGACAGGAGGGAGGAGCTGGGGGGTGTTGAGCTCTGCTCCCGGGAACAAGCGGCAGGATGAGTGGAAATAGCTTCAGGTTGCACCAGGGGAGGTTTGGATTGGATATTAGGGGAAAATCCTTCATGGAAAGGATGGTGAGGCATTGGAACAGACTTCCAGGGGCAGTGGTGGAGTCCTCATCCCTGGAAGAGTTCAAAAGCACGTGGATGTGGCACTTGGGGACATGGTTTAATGGTGAACGTGGTTTTGGTGCTGGGCTGATGGTTGGACTTGATGAGCTTGGAGATGTTTTTCAACCTCAGCAGTTCTGTGAATCCATGATTCTCTAGGGGGGCCAGGGAGCAGTTGGCAATGGATAGGGGAGCAGATGGGTGGAGTGACCACTACTTGGCTCCCCCCTGGCAGAGATGTGGCCAGAGGGCTCAGTGTGGGCCAGGCTCCATCCCTGCAGCCCTGGGCTGGCTCCTCTCTGCTTTTTTCCCCCTGTTTCCATCTTCAATCCTTTCACAACCTACAATGACTCCTTGTTTCACCTTCCTCCTGCAGAGACACTGATGGACTCCACAACAGCAACAGCAGAGCTGGGCTGGACGGTGCATCCTCCGTCAGGGGTAAGTCATCAGCACTTCCAGAGCTGCTCTGTGGCCTCCTGCTGCACTTCAACAGAGGAGGGTTGGCTCAACAAAAGTCAGGCACTGAAGCAGAGTGAGCAGAGTGCCTTGGCCACTTGAAGTATCTGGTGGGAAGAGGACAAAAGAAGGCTGACAGTTGATGTTTCCAGTACTTTTCTAGGAGGTCATGCTCCAAAAAAATACCCCAGTGCTGGAGGGATGTAATTCTCACCCCACAGAATCAGGCCAGTGGGGTGTTGAAGGACTCATGCTCTCTGTAAAGCCAGCCTGCAGCCACCTAAAAATCAGAGAGGGGAAGAAACAAAAGGCCAAGGCCACCCTCATTTGTCCCCACTGTCTCACTTGTTGTCCCATTACCTGTCACTTGTATCAGGATGAGGGCATTGGCCTCAGGGCCTGAAATGACTGTCCAGCATCCCTGGCATCCCACAGAGAGTCATTTGCTGGCCCAGCAGCAATGGTCTCTCTGCTTTACTGGTGCCAGGAGTCCCCTGAGCCACACCTGAAGCCCACCCAGCACAAGCTCCTTTAAAGAACTTGGACAGGGCAGTGCATCAGGTTCTTCCCCCAGAGGGTGGTCTGGCACTGAACAGGCTGCCCAGGGCAGTGGTCACAGCACCAATGCTGCCAGAACTTAAGGAGTGTTTGGACAACACTCTCAGGGACAGGGTGGGATTTCTGAGGTGTGCAGGGCCAGCAGTTGGACTGGATCGTCCTTGTGGATCCCTTCCAACCCAGTGTATTCTGTGTTTCTGTGATCCCTGGCCCTTCCACTCGTGACAGAAAACCAGAGTGGAGCCACCTCCATGTCCTACGTGGGGCATTGAGATGCTTCAGAGCGTCCTGCCCAGCTCTGGCTGTGGTGACCAGCAGCAACCTCAGTGCCCAACACCCCAGACCTGCTCCCTTGCACTTGGGTGGCCCAATCCAGCCTGGCCAAAGCCTGGAGGTGCTTCCCACGCCTGTACATGGCGGTGGCTCAGGCTCCATCCTGCCTTCCATCTGCCCTCCACAGGGGCTGGATGAAGATGTTTCCGTGGACCTCACCAGGCTGACAGCAAGTCCTAGACCCGAGCTGACTTGGCAGAATAGAAACAGCCAAGAGAAGCCTCTTGTGGAGAGATTAAACCCAGCTCTGAGCAGTGTGTGGAGCCGGGCGCGGATGATGCCGGCCCCAGGCCCCATCACCATGATAAAGCCGGTGTTGCCTGAGCCCCCCCAGCCTGGCCAGTTTCCCCCCGAGGGGGGATGATGGGCACACAATGGGGGGGAGCAGAGGTCAAGTCTTTTTCTCTCCCGGCCCAGCCTTTCTTGTTTGCGGTGTTTCCATATGTAAAGCACGCCCTGCTCCCGCTCCCCAGCCCCCGCCGTAATGAGGCCCGGGCCGGCTGGAAGCCGTCTCCCCCTGTTATTGTGCTGCTGCCTCCTTTTGAGCTCCCGGCATGTTAATTAGAGAACGGGGAGAAAGGGAGAGGCTTCTAATTAAGCGCCGAGGAAGCGCAGGGCTGGTGCGCAGGGGTGACTTTCTCTCCCAGCTGGGAGGAGGGAAGTTGGGAGCCCCCTGGGGATGCGGGAGGATGCTGGGGGTCCTAAGCCTCGACCCCGGGGTGCTCCCGTGTCCCCCATCGGCATGAAGAAGTCCAGTGTGGCCCCAGTGGACCTACATCCCCACCTCCAGGCAGGACCCTTGAGGGAGTGTGGGGCACATCAGGGGTGGCGATGCTGTGGTGCCTTCACAGCCTCATGTCCATGGGCAGGACAAGGCAGGGCACCCCACCCATGGGTGACTGGCCAGGTTGGGTGCAGCCAGCATTGCCTGGAAGAGAGAAGCTGCTGTGTGCTCCTCTTTGGGGATTATCAGAGACCCAAAAGCCCAAACTGTTGCTTTTTGCCTGTGCCACCCATAGGTGCCCCCAGGCCCTGTCTCCACTGTCTCCTGTTCATCCCAAGCTGTGGAGACCCTCATTCCATCTCCTGCTCGACTGAGGATGAGCTCTCTGGGCTCATGTCCTGACCTTTCCTGGGGGCTGGGCAAGTGTGGATGGGGGTGGAGCAGCACTGGGGGTCCTGGGTCTTGGTGGCTGACAGGGTGGGTGTCAGGAGTGGCCCAGGTGAGGGAGAGCCACGTCAGAGACAGGGCAGGGGAAGGAATTGCTTCCCTGTGCCTTGTCCTTGATTCCCTCTCTCCCCTCCCAACCAGTGCCCTAAAAAAGGGGGAGATCCTGCAATTTTCCACTAGCACATCAAATTTATTTCTGGAAAACAAAGCAAATGCTCCCACTGTATTTTGCGAGGATGCTCTTCTCCTCCCCCGGCCATGGCAGCAGATTTGCAGCCACTGCCAATCCAAAGTGGTTGGAGCTGTTAGGGATCTTCCCTGACAGCCTTCTGTTGGGCTGTTAGCCTTGATGTGCGAGGAGCAATCTGTCTCCCATCTCCTGAGCCTCCCTCTCCAGTCCTGGGTGCCCTCGTGAGGCCATTTGCAACCCGAGGGGCTGGGAATGCTCTGCTCCTGCAGGATTTTCCCTGCGGACTCGGTACTGGCGCTGGTGCTGGGTCAGGACTGTGCTGCTGCCCTGCCCTGGCTGTTGTGATAGGATGTGTAGGGTTGAGGTCAGAATGTTATAGAAGTGGGAAACAGCTCGGCTTCCACTTGAGCAGGTTTATGAACAAGTTCAGGAGGAGCTGTTCCAGCTGGCCAGGGCTGTGTCACACACCAGCAGGACCCTGGTCCCTACTGCCAGCAGCACACGGGTGCCCTGGGTGGGGAGGGACTGCAGGGAGAGGCTGCACAATCCAGCAGGGTTTAGACTGCGGGAGATGCTCTGTGAGCCAAGGGTGCTCCTCCCACACGGACTCTTCCCTGTTGGTGCTCAGTGCAGAGGAGCAGGGGCCTGTTACAGGCTGCAGTTTGTGCCCTGCATCCCCCACCCCGAAGTATCCCCATCCTACACAGAATGAAGGCAGCAAGCACTGAAGGGTTTGGGAAAAAACAGCCTGGGAAAAAAGCAGGGAGCTGAAGAGGGCCAGGAGGTGCCACAGCAACCCTGAGCTCTGTGGGGACCCAGGGAGCAGCTGGAGCTGTGTCAGGGCAGGTTTAGGTTGGATTTCAGGAAAAGGTCCTTCCCCCAGAGGGTGGTTGGGCACTGACCAGGCTCTCCAGGGAAGTGGGCACAGCCCCAAGGCTGCCAGAGCTCAAGGACCATTTGGACAACACTCTCAGGGACAGGGTGGGATTATTGGGGCTGTGCAGGCCAAGAGTGGGACACATTGATCCTTGTGGGTCCCTTCCAGCTTAGGATATTCTATGATCCTATTGATTCTATGAGCTCTACAGAGCCTCCTCCAGAGATGGCAGAGTCAGTCAGCTGGGATAGTGGCTGAGCTTCCCATGGGGAAACCTGTCAGCTCCGAGCTGTCTTGCTGAGAAGGATGCTGCTGTCATTCCACGGCTCACAGGCATGTCTACATCCCATAGATCCGGTTCAGGACAGCTGGAGCTGGGACCTGCAGACATTGACCCTCGAAGGGACAGGGATGGGGGCTCCAGAGGGATCCACCCAGCATCTCCCTTTCTGGGAATGCAGTGGGATTGGCTATGGTCCATTCATGCTGCTGGGAAAGGCAGTGGCCACTGGCCTCTGCAGCTGGCCAGGAGGTTTTACAGCTCCTGGGGAAGTGGGTCCTGTCTGCCACTGCTGTAACCATAGTGGCACCGGTGGGAATCCATCTGCTTAAGGCATCATGTTCCTTTGCTGGAGGCTGAGCTGTGAAGGCAGAGTCCCTGCTAAAGCCATTCCTGCTGTGGAGGAGACCCTGCTGTCCCTGTCACCAGCAGAGAGGCTTGACCCTAAATCCAAGCATGGAGCACAGTGCTGGTGGCCCCAAGCTCTGCTGAGGGCTTGGACCACCTTGTCCCCACAGTGCAGAGCCTGCCTCGGGTGTGGTGTGGGTCAAACCCCACCAGGCGGGGGTGTGATGCTGGGCACTATGGGATGGGCACAGAGTGGGGCAGCTGGTGCTGGCAGAGCCTGCTTGGCACATAGCGGGGTTGGGAAGAGGCAAGGAGGGTGGGGAGCATCTGCTCAGTGCAGCCCCGTGACTTTCTGTGTCCTGCCCACAGTGGGAAGAGGTGAGTGGATACGACGAGAACATGAACACAATTCGCACCTACCAGGTGTGCAACGTCTTCGAGTCCTCCCAGAACAACTGGCTCCGGACCAAGTACATCCGGCGGCGAGGAGCACACCGCATCCATGTGGAGATGAAATTCTCAGTCCGGGACTGCAGCAGCATCCCAAATGTCCCAGGCTCCTGTAAGGAGACTTTTAACCTCTACTATTTTGAGTCGGACTTTGACTCAGCCACCAAGACCTTTCCTAACTGGATGGAGAATCCTTGGATGAAGGTGGATACAATTGCCGCTGACGAGAGCTTCTCGCAGGTGGACCTGGGTGGACGGGTGATGAAGATCAACACTGAGGTGCGCAGTTTTGGGCCCGTCTCCAAGAACGGTTTCTACCTGGCCTTCCAGGACTACGGAGGCTGCATGTCCTTGATTGCCGTGCGCGTCTTCTACCGCAAGTGTCCCCGTGTGATCCAGAACGGGGCCGTCTTCCAGGAAACCCTCTCAGGGGCAGAGAGCACCTCGCTGGTGGCGGCGCGGGGGACGTGCATCGCCAACGCCGAGGAGGTGGACGTGCCCATCAAGCTCTACTGCAACGGGGACGGCGAGTGGCTGGTGCCCATCGGGCGCTGCATGTGCCGGCCGGGATACGAGTCCGTGGAGAACGGGACCGTCTGCAGAGGTAACCACGTGCTTTGGTCCCACCCCGGGCACCCGCCTCTGTGTGCCAGGGGTGGCAGTTGGGATTTGTTCCTGGGATCTGCATGAACCAGCTGGGAGTGACCTCCCTGGGCAGGGGTAGGAGAGGAGCATGTGTGGAGGTTGACTCTTTCCCCAGCTCCTCAATTCCTGCCCTGGGCTCATCCATCCATTGCAGAGGCTCTATGTGACCTCTGGGTCCCAGGGCCACTGTTCCCAACCACCTGTTGCTGGTGCCATCCATGCTCTTGGTTGGGACATACGTGTGTCACTGTGGTGCGTGTCACCAATTGGCTGCTGCCTCCCAAAATACTGGGGCTGTTTTCTCATTGGTTTGTGCCCTTGGCATGGGCTGAGTTGCTTCTGGGATGAGGGCAGTGGGAGTGCAGGCTCCCAGAGGGGGTGCAGTGGCAGGGAACAAGTTGTCTACAGCGTTTTCCTGGTGAGGTGCAAATGGCCCAGGGTGGAACATGTGCTGTTCAGCTGGCCCCTGGGCTCCTCAACAGCCAGAGGTTTCCTGCCCTGTAGATGTTCTGCCTCCCTGCCCTTGCAGATGTTTTCCTGTTTTGTAGATGTTCTCCTGTTCTGTAGATGTTCTCCTGCCCTGTAGATGTTCACCTGCTCTATAGATATCCTCCTGTCCCTATAGATGTTCTCCTGCCCTATAGGAGTTCTCCTGCCCCTGTAGGTGTTCAAAGCAGGCTCCATGAGTGCCTGCTGAGCTCAGCTGAGCACCATGGAGCCAGTGTGGTGCAGCCAAGTGAGAGGCTCTGCGCCACCCTCCCTCTGTGCTCCTCCCCAGTTGCACTTGGGAAGGTTGGAAAAGGAACTACTGGGGTTGTTGGAAGAGAGATGGGGACCCAAGAGCTGTGTGATGGGCACCTGCAGCTGTACCACACATGGAGCAAACAACCGTGTTTGGCACATGAGATCTTCTCCCCCCCTGTCCTGGCTGAACAGCCAAATCCCACTGCAGTTCCAACAGTATCAGCACACTCCAAGCAGAGCCTCTGAGATCAGTTATAGATACGTTGGTGGGCACTGCAGAGCCAAGGGAGGGCCTGTGTCTCCTCTCTTCTGGCTGTGAAGGGGTGGCCAGGTAGCACCAAGCAAGGGGAAGGTGCTGGTAGTGGAAGATGCAGAGGCTGGAGAGGGGGATGGACAGTCTGGCTGTGCTCAGTAGGGACTGCAGGCTGTGTAGTGCCCTTGGAGAGGGCTCCATGTCTGCTGCTGGTGGCTGGGCTGCTCACATGCCAAAATTTTAGGTCCTGGTGTGCTCTGGGGGTCATTTAATATCCATGATTTCAGCTACTCCTCAATTGGCCACTGAACATCTCTTCCCGCTGAGCTTGGGGAGATCAAGTGTCTTCCGGCCTTAGCAGGGATGGGGATGGGGACAGCAAGGAAATACTGCTGGAAACTGAGCCTGGCTAATCCCTGCCTCGAAGGGCAGACGGGGGTTTTACAACTCCCAAGCAAAGCATCTGTAGCAACACCAGAAAGCCCCAATGATTCATGGCGACTTTTCCATCTCAGCCTGTTTTTTTTTTCAGAGCAGACCCAGCCCTGTGCAGTGCTTTGCTCGGATGCAACTGGGCTTTCCTGGGGGCTCCCTGGTCCCGCTGCCAGCCCGGCCAAGGGACAGTCCCTTCGCATGCCCCGCGGCTCCCAGGACCCCTCACGCAGGGCTCCCCTGTGCCCGCAGGGCTGGAGGGGAGGCAAGAGCGGGGGCCAAGGTGGAGGGAGCGAGCAGGAGGGAGAGGCCGGGCCCTCTTTGTCTGCGCAGCAGCAGCAGCAGGATTTTGGGAGGTCCGGTGCCTCGGCAGCTGTTTCTCCAGCCGGTGCTGGCGCTCGCCCGGCCCCGCTCTCCCCGCCCTCATTAATCACACAGTGGCCGCAGCCCGACATCTGCGTGGGGCAGCTGGCTCCGGGGCTGCCTTCCCCTTCCCCTTTCCTTTCCCCTTTCCCATCCCTTTCCCTTCCCCCTTCCCCTTTCTCTTTCCCATTCCCCTTCCTTTTCCCCGTCCCTTTCCCCTTCCCTTTCCCCTTCCTTTTCCCTTTCCCCTCCCCTTTCCCCTTTCTCTTACCTTTCTTCTTCCCCTTCCCTTTCCTCTTTCCCCTTCCCTTTCTTCTTTCCCGTTTCCTCTTCCCACTCCCTTCCCCTTCCTCTTTCCCATCCCTTTCCTCTTTTTCTTTCCCTTTCCATCTTTCCCTTCCCCTTCCTTCCCCTTCTCTTTCCTTCCCCTTCCCATGTGGGGCTGGATCAGGGCTGGATGGGACCCCAGGATTGTGCTAGACTGGGAAACCCCCTCCATTTCCCCCCAGTATCCCCCAGAAGCGGAGTGGGGACTGGGTCAGGAGTCAGCCACAGAGCTGTCAGGACAGCCAAGGCATCCCCATCCACTCCCAGCCCTCCCAGTGAGCCCCCCAAAGGGCTGGGGAAGGGGCTGGTGGCCCCAGCTCAGCTCAGGAAGGACCTGTGGGATGCAGCCCTGCATCCCTACCCACCTCCCGCCCTGGCCCTGGTCCCTGCGGAGGCAGCGTCGGAGCCGCCTGGCTCGGCCAACTCACTCCTACATGTGGCTGGCAGGTTTGCTCGTGTTTCCAGGGGTGGGAGGGAATCTGGGCCCCTTTCCAGAAGCAAAACAAAAGCAAATCCGAGCTGACTTTCGGGGTGAAGTGTTCTCACATGGCTTGGGTGCCTCAACAGGACATAGCAGGGACTGTGGGGGGACACGGTCCTGCCCCTCCAAGGGGTCCAGGTGGAGAAGGGCATCCCAAGGAATGGCCAGCAGCTGGAAGGAGCTGCTTATTTTCCGCCCTGGGTTTCTCAGCCGGCTGACAGCGCCGGCCTGCTCGCGGCACTGCGCTCCAGGGATATTTATGGAGGAAGTTCATGCATCTAACAGCTTAAGCTCTTCTAAGCTCACAGCCCCAGCACAAAAGGATTTGGGGGCAGTTAACAATTCTATGTGGTTAAGAGATTTTCATTTTGCCGGGGCCTCGCTCGCCTGTCCCACAGGGCCCTGAGAGGGGCTGGCTGCCCGTTCCCCTCCACTTCCCTCCGCTCCTCCGCTCGCTTCCCGGCTCCTGGGCCGCGCCTCCCCCAGCCCCGTCCTCCCCACTTCACCTTCTGCTCCCTGCCTGCGTCTTTTCTCTCCATCTCCCTGTTCTTTGTCTGCGCCTCCCCCCCGGCCCCCCCTCCCCGTCCCTCCCATGCAGCACATTAAGCGCATTTCTCCCTGTGCCTCTCGTATCCATTGGCTCCGCTCAGCCACGGCAGAGGCAGAACCATTGTGCTGCTGCTCTCCCTGGCCTGGCTGGACGGTGCCTGCACGGGCTCTGCCTGCTCAGGGGTCACTGCTGGTCCCGGCAATTCAGCCCTTCATCCTTCTCCAGCCCCTCTCCGTCACAGGAGGACATTTCTGATCCCAGAATTCTCTCTTTGTTGTGCCTGTGCAGCGCTGAGTGTGGGGAGTCCCGTGGCCTTGCTGGGGTGACAAGGGATGGTTTTGCCCTGCAGAAGCTGGTGGTGACACTCTCTGGCTATCAGAGACATGTGGTGTCATCCCTTGGGGTCATGAGCATTTCTGAGGAGGAGAGGAGCTGGTGACCTGATGGGAAGAGGAGAAACCTGCTCAGATTCAGGCTGCCAGCTGTCTTCTCCTTGCCCCTCTTCTCTGCTCTTTGCCTCTCTACTTCAGTCTTGTGAGACCTCCCTCCTCCAGTGCTGCCTCCAGCTCTGGGGTCCCCCACAACAGAATGACATGGACCTGTTGGGATGAGTCCAGAGGAGGCCATGGAGATGCTCCAAGAGCTGGAGCCCCTCTGCTCTGGATTCAGGCTGGGAGAGTTGGGGATGTTCACCTGGAGAAGGGAAGGCTCCAGGGAGACCTTAGAGCCCCTTCCAGTGCCTAGAGGGGCTCCAAGAGAACTGGAGAGGGACTTCAGACAAGGGCCTGGAGGGACAGGACAAGGGGGAATGGCTTCCCACTGGCAGAGGGCAGGGATAGATGGGATATTGGGGAGAAATTCTTCCCTGTGAGGGTGGTGAGGCCCTGGCACAGGCACAGGTTGCTCAGAGAAGCTGTGACTGCCCCATCTGGAATTGTTCAAGGCCAGGTTGGATGGACCTGTGTGGTCTAGTGGAAGGTGTCGCTGCCCATGGCAGGGGTGTTGGAACAAGATGAGCTTCAAGGTCCCTCCCAATCCAAACCATTCGGGGATTCTGTGATCCCCCAGCCCAAGGTGGAGATGAGCCTCCTTCCCTGCCTGTGCTTTATGTTATTTTGGTGTCCAGGGCAGCAGATTTGTCCCCATCCCACCATGTGTGGAGGATGCAGGTGCCGATCATGCTGTGCATGTACATGAGGACCCAGAGCCATCCCTCCTTTCCAGAGGGGTGGGAAGCAGTGAGGGTCTTTCCCAGACAAGCTGTACTTGGGATTCAGAGGGGGCCAAAGTATGTGCTAAGGGCTTGGAGTGCCATACAGCTTTCCAAGGTGCCGGAGAAGGGCATGTCCGAGCAGGACGTGATGTTTTGATGAGAAGAGGCTATTTATGGCACTCTGCCTGTTCCAGGTCTGGGCCTCCACTGATAATGCTGGACCCAGCCAATAAATTGTAAGGCTCTAGGGGCAATCAAGTTCTTCCAGGAAGCATTCCTGGTTGAACTGGAGCAGATACAGCCAATAGTGCTGGAAATGTTTCCAGAGATGGAGAACTGCCCGTTAAACGCTTCCAGCCGTCGCTCCTGCTGTGCCTAGCGCTGGGAGCTTTGTCTATCACCACACCTCTGTGGTCTCTGTGGCTGTTTATGGATAATCCTTGGCCTCCACTCCTCTGGTGAGGTTTTCAGCCAGCTTTTTTGGCTCTTCCCAGCCCTTGGCACTGCTTTAGCCTTTCCCTTGGCAGATCCAGCTCTCCATGCACAGGATGCTTGTGGTGATCAGCCGCGTGCCAGGGAGGATGCTGAGATTCCCTCTTCCTACACCCTCCCCCCCTTGCTTAACCATTTGGGCAGTGGCATTTCTCTGGGTGCTTTTGAAGGATCCTTGTCCTTCTTTGTG